TGCTTGATATAATACATTCACGGAAATGTTATATTTTTGCTGAAATTACGTACGTATTACAGTGGAAAGTGGGATAAAATCGTGACGAAAGCAATGACTTTCACTTTCTTTCGTTCAAAAGATGTTACCGTAATCGCTTTTCGAATGGTTTAGTTAAAAAACTGTTGTATTACAACAATATTCCCTCCTAATTGACTTGAATAAATACTTGAATGGAAATATACAATATTTTTGTTGAAACTACCCGCGTTTCAGTGTAAAGTGTCGTAATAATAAATGGTAAACAATTTGCCTTCGGCACTCGTGTTTCATGCACGGCGAGCCTCAGTTTATAGGACGTAGAGCGTTTTTAGTGAAAGTTTTGTTGTTCCATTACCCTCAAAAACGTGGGTCGAACTATAAATGAGGAATACCGTAAATTAACGATTTCTTGTTCAAAAAACCAGGGTCGACCTATAAACGAGGGGGGGTTATAGACGAGTATATACGGTAACCGCGTAAAGTGAGGGTTGACTGTATATCACAAATGTTGAAAGACTTAATTTGTCATTCATACTATGTATGGTAATTAAAAAAAAAATTGAGGGCCAAATGATGGTGGTGTTATGTACAATTTTTCCAGTGACGCTATGAGGATTTGGCTCCTGACATTCACATGAACTGGTCTGTACAAAAAGTTGCAACATTTCTTGTGATTTTGAATTTTGAGAAAAAAATATTAGAAAACCTCCACAACTAACAATTACAAAACCATAGCGGATATATTAAAATAACAAACTCAATTGGGTACCCCCTTTTTTTTTTATTTGTCAGTTGTTGATGTTATTGTGTATTACATACTGTGCTTCAACAACTATGTATATGGTACAGTACTGTACTTCATTTAAATTAGCTTTGTAACCAGGGCCTAGAGCAGATTTTATCAGTAGTACTGTACAGCAATTGTTTGCCATAATGAGGTGTGCTAGGTTAATCTTGACCTCTTTGTTATTATATTTTGTAATTGCACATAATTTAACAATTAACTGTTGATCTAGAATGATATCCTTAGCCATGGAAGTAAAAAATTATCATGTTAAACACTTTAATAACATAAGTATCATTAAGTGAAAAAGAAAAAAATATACTTGTATATAAACGATCGGTGGTATTTGATGTTATTCACCCTGTGTGACGAGGCCAATCATGAACTTCCTCAAAATTGGCCCATTTATAATCTTTGAGTGAACATAGTACAGTACAGTACTGTATAAATAAAAACATGTACAATCAAAGACTAAAGTCATGTCGCATTTTTGTCTGAAGATTAAATATAACTCGTGAAACATTATGAGAACCCTAGCATAAGGCAGAGCGCACCAAAAGTTTTAGCCCTTCAGCATATGTTTTCACCAAATTTCACGACACGACTTTTGTCTTTCATTGTACATGTACAGGTACTCAAGGTTAGTTCACACACACACACTAGTCATCAAAAGTGAAAGATGAAGAGGTGCATATCCCTGCTACTATACAGTACTACATACTAGTACGTACTGTATAGTTTAAGATTCTCAACACATATAAATATAAAATTGTGAGACTCATTGCTGATTAAAACTTCACTAGTGATTGAAGTGTCAAACCTATCTAAAAGTGTGGAATGGGTAGGTAGGGGAAACGGGTGGGAAGGGGGGGGTTGGAGCTGAAAGTTCCTTCAGTGAGTCAGTCTGTTAAAATCTCAGAACGGGTATTCAGTGAGCTACCACTAATACCCATAGTTGAAAATGGGTACCTTAATCTTCACATATTTTTTAACTGGCATGTGTGAGGATGACTTAATAGTGTACTTTAGTTAGCTACACATATGTGGGCAAATATTCTTCACATTATAGTTCATTGATAACACAAATTGAAAATATTGAAGAGGAAAACAAAGGTATAGTGGTCCCTCGGTTAATGAGCACAATTAATTACAGAAAGTTGCGCGTTAACTGAAAAATTAGTTAACTGAAACCATTGTTTCAATGGGCTTTTGGGTAATTGGTTCCAGCTCACCGAAAATTACATACAAACTAAAAATAAATGCAGTAAAGTACACTTACTTTGAGGTGTGCATGTAGAAGGCTCCTGGTTGATGATGATGATGATGGGAATTAGAATGGGGGTGGAGGAGAAGGGAGAAGAGAAGGCATTGGGGTGGAAGAGAAGTCACCCCATGCCGCCATTTCACCTATAAAATTTTAGTTCACTTGGTGTAATTCAAAATTATTTTCTTTAAATCAACACTGCACTGCGCTATATATTATCAATACAGTATGTAAAATATATTTCAAAATGACCAATAATTTGACTGGTAACAGAAAAAAGCGTTTATGTTGTAGAGTCTCAAACAAGATGTTCCTTCCTCTGAACTGGTAAACAAACTGACGCCAAGCTTGGTGTGTTGAGTGGCTGTTTGGCGCGCAAAAAACTAGTTTCCTGTCCTTCGATTATGTTCAATAATTGTTAAAATGACTAAAAAAATTAATATAAAACTTTTAAAATTATTGAATAGTACAACCTTCTTGTTATTTACTCAAATGGTAAGGAATTTAAGCCCTAGAACCGATCACTGTATTGGCAGACTAATACTACAGCTGGTGGGCAGCCAAATGCAGGTGAAAACATGTTGGGAAAAATTCGTAAGGAATTCTTTAACCGAGGGTTTACTCGTTAACCGAAGTGAAGAATCTTATGGAAGGTAATTCGTTAACAGAGGCGCTCATTAACCGAGGGATCACTGTATAGGAAGGAAAGAAAAATGAAGATAAAATGAGAGGTGAGGAAAATTGAAAGGAAAGGAGGGGTAGAAGGAGGGAAGGGAGGTGAGAGGGTAGTGGGATAAGAATAAAGATTTGGAGAAGAGGAAGGTAAAGGATAATAGGAAAGTAAAGAAGGGAAAGTACAGTAAGAGGAATAGTAGAAATGGAAGAGAATTAAAGAAAAATAAAGTGATGCAAAAGGAATTTGTATAGAGAACTGATGGAGGATATGAAAGGAAGAGTAGGAAGTTAATACAGTACTGTACCCTGCCTGCTGTACCCAGTAAAGATGTACAGTACAATACTGTACCTCCTGACAAGATTACAAAAATGCCTGTGATATAGGACTTTGGGTAAGGGAAAGATTCTGTGTAAAGGTAAAATCACCCAGACTGTAATTCATATTCTCTTTGCCCCAGAGATAAATAACATTTTGAGTAAAAAAAGAAGCAAAACTGTCTAGAAGTCATCATTGTGGAATGCTTATATGTACAGTACATAATTGTACAAGGGTTCATTGTTATTTAATGTATTGTATATCATCATATGCCGTTGTATCTGTTTGTCCAAGTATATTTATACAAATATTAAACAACTCTCTCAAGATTACAGTACATACAGTGTTTGTACATTTTTGACAAGAGAAAAATTATCAGTGAAATATGGTACTGTATATATATATATATATATATATATATATATATATATATATATATATATATATATATATATATATATATATATATATATATATATATATATATATATATATATATGAAGAATTGAAACACATTCGTTCCATTGCACAAAAACTTGGGTACCCTTCTGTGTTTGTTGATCATTGTTTTAAAAGGGCTGAAAAATTCTTTCATTCTACTCAAACCAGGCAAATTCCTACACTTAAGAATATTTTGACTGCCTTATCGCAATGAATTTGTCCTGTTAGTTCGGTCTCTTAAATTACTAAATATTAATGTTGTTTTCAAGTATGACTCGACCATTACCAATATGTTAATGAAAAATAGCCCAACTTTGAATGTAAATGAAAGTGTTTATCATATTCCATGTAGCATATGTTATGGTAATTATGTAGGACAGACAGGAAAAACATTGCATCTCAGAATCAAACAACATAAGTACAATATCAGAACAGCATCTGAAAGCAGTGCCCTGTTTGTTCATGTTAGGAATAATAATCATCCCATTGCTTGGGAAAAAAGCTTAGAAGTATTCAAGTCATCTTGCATCACAGAAAGACTTCTGGTTGAAGCTAGTTTGATTAAGGAATCAGGGCCGGATTCAGGAGTGGGCAAAGTGGGCAGCTGCCCAGGGGCCTCCACATGTGCGGTAGTAGCTATATCAGGGCTGGTCGACTTGAAACCACATGAATGACTCCAGCCATGTCTCACTTTTGTGTGTGTGTGTGTGTGTGTGTTTTGGGAATTTGTACACTATCAATAAATATACAGTTAATTAAAAATTTCTCAATGTTCTAATTTCCTCAATATAACTACATATGGCTTCAAAATTCTCCAAAGAAGTGTTCAAATTTCAAAATTTTCCCGGGGGGCTTACAGCGCCCCCCGGAACTCCTAGATGCTTAGCCTCGCTTCACTCGCCACCCCACCCTCTTGGGTAGTTATAATGAGGGGGGCCTCCACAAAGAGGCTGCCCATGGGCCTCCACAGGTCTAAATCCGGCACTGTAAGGAATTAAAATCAATAAACCTTAGTGGTGGTCAGTACAAAACTGATAATATGTTACATAAATTTATTTGTCAGTGGCCCAAGGTTAAAAATGCTTTGAAAACCTTGGAGCTAGATGTAGGATAGTTATTTAGTGGGTCCCTTATTTTTTACCTGACCTGACTAGTCACGTCGCCCCCTTTCTCTGAAGCGCCTCTACGTTTGTGTTGGTGTGGAGATTAGTGGATGACATCATTATGACCTGACCTCATGTTTAATAAGGTTACCCTGTATATTTAAGCCTCTCTCTGTCCATGTAATCCAGTTGCCTCTGAAGATGTCTTGAATAAAGAAAAAAGCTAAGGTGCTCCGTTGTTTCCCTTTTCCCCGTGCGATATATATATATATATATATATATATATATATATATATATATATATATATATATATATATATATATATATATATATATATATATATATATATATATATATATATATATATATATATATATATTACACTTGTTTTACAGAGAGTGGAGGTAGTGAGCTATGGGGAGCAACGGGTGGTGGCGGAAGTGGAGCGGCGGCAGCAGCAGCAGCGGCAGCAGGAGCCATGGGAAACTATCCATACCCCACACCGTCCATGATGGGACCCTCCTCCCATCTTACACAACCACACTACATGACACCACATCTCCATGATCCAATGGTAGGTAAAGTTTCATTGTGTGACTAATTTTTTATTGTACTGTATACAGTAATTTGTAAAAGTTGTTTTGGGCAAAGGGAAACACAGTACCCTGTACTCAATAGCACAGTGTAGTACAGTACTCAAGATCTTGATTAATATGAAAGGGAAAACTTAACAGTATTTTTCTTGTTCTTTTTAAGATGCCATCTGCATTTGTATTTTAACTACTAATGGAGATGTAACAAACTTGATGCAGACTAATATTGAAGAGGTTTTTATATTAGTACTTAATCTACTGAGTACTCTTCTACAGGGTTATGATAACATGGCATCAGGTTTACCACCCATGTCATCATTCCGTGGACCTGGCGCGAGCAGCACCACAGGTGGAGGGTCAGTTGCTACCTCCTCACCCCTTTACACACACTCTCCTGTGCCTAATCACACCCAGGCCACAGCCACAGGCAACACAGGCGATACACTCGGCAAGGCGTTATCTTCAGTGAGTATATCAGTGTGCTTCTGACTTTGTTTTCATTGCTGCTGTTGCTGCACCCTTTATTTTACTGTGTTTATGCACATTGGCACTATAGCACAGTTGCATGCAAGTTCACAGGTTTTAATACACTCCTTAAAAAGTACAGCCACATGCCGATATAAATACCTTCCATGAATAGAATTTCAGTGTGATAAAACCAGTTCTCCTTTCCTACCCATTCCTGTGGCTAAGAAGATGAAAAGCCATATATGGCATGAAATTCTACAACTTGGATTCCTGATCATGAGCTGTTCTGAGTAGATAGAGGTATTCTCTTGCACTTGTAAATTGAGGTACACATTCTAATTGGATATCTGTAGCTCCAGATTTTGAATTACTGTACACAATTACAGTACAGTATTTCAGAAGTACAGTATTTGGTTTAGACAGAAATGAACATAACATATGATGTAGAACATAAGTAATTTAGATTCACAATTTTAACAAGGTTTGTATTTTATTTTATTTTAATTCTTTTCATACTGTAGCTTAGTTTCTTGAAAAATAAGGAGAAAAAAAAAGGATAGTAATTTCCTTAGATTAACTGTGATATGGTATTGATCAAAATATTGTACTTTTCGGTGAAAGTTGGGCTGCAAATTTTAGGAGACATAAAGATTTATTTGAACAAAGTTGTTTGAACATAAGTACTGTAGTATATGGGTAGAATGTTGGAACAACATTTGTGTAAGTATTTTACTTTCTCACATTCATGAATTCATTATGAAGTATAGTAGTAAGAGTAATTATTAGTTCAATGAGCTATATTGAGAAATGACTGTGTTTATGCATTAAAGACATTTTATGAACATTTGACTCACCACAAGGAATTTTTTCTTCAATTGTTTGTAGCTTATTTTTTTATCTTAGACACTGTTGATTCTCAGTAAACAAAAGAAACAGGAAGCTTGTGTTGGCTTATTGGAATTACAGTTGGTTGTTGATGGTGGATTATTGTGTCCATCAGATTTACCCTGGAGAGCAGACGTCGAGCAGCTACAGCAGTAATCCTGGCACCCCAGTTTCTGCCACCTCCCCGCCCCCCCACACCTCTGGGGCAACTAGTGGGGCCCCCCAACAGTGGCCACAGCCCCATACACCCACCTCACCTCATTATGACCGTTCCCTCCCCATGGTAAGCCACCACACTTACTGTGTCTTCTGGCAACAGTGTAAGAACATAGAGACATTATCTCACGCACACAGAAAGGTTTATCATAAATGAATGCGTAAGGATCACATTGTTACACCAGATTATCAGTGTGTCCAGTAATAGCATCCCTTATGACACCAGCACTCAGCTTGCCAGCATCTCCACTGTTGATTAGTTTTGTTTTTATTTTATCTTGCATGATGTAGTCTTCTTAGCTCTTGAGGCACACACCTGTTCTCCAGGTATTTGGTGCAAGGCAGTGAAACGATAAGTACTACTTGTGTTTCGTGGATTTTGGTTACTTCATTCCTGAAGTATTGTGCATAATAGCTGTAATTGCAGGCATTTTTTTCCTTGCTAATGTTAGCTAGACTCATTTTTTTATTAAAATTTTGTCATACAAGAAAAACTTGGCATAAAAAAAAGCAAAGTAGATGCACTGAATTAGTTGATGTAATTGTTTACTTTCGTGTATCCCTGTTGCTTGAAGGGAGTTTGAGAGTGACTCATGCACTGCATTACATTTCCTCCTAGAAGATATTCTGTTCAAGTTTGTAGAATCTCTGGAATGGGAGAAAGTAGCACATTGCATAAAATTTGTAGTTTTATCCAATACAGTATCTTCATTTTCATCTTCCTATGACAACAATGCATGTTGTCTTGTCTACTGACATAGCATGAATAATTTTGATCAGTATATAAAGTCTGCACCACATTTTGCATGGACTAGTTCACTTTTTCACTTAAGTTTGCATGGTTATTATACATTTTTTTTCTTCTTTTCTTCTTTGTTGCACTGTAGCGAGGTATGGCAGAGGAGAACTTAGAGTCAGCAATCGACTATCTTCGAGATATTGAGGTAAAGATGCACTCTCACTTCCGCTTTGGTTTGTGTGAGATTGTATTATGAGCAGGAATGGTTTTGTCATCTCTGTATGTACTTTATTATGTCATTTTTACTAAACAAAGTTTTTGTCTTGATGGGTGATGACGTTTTTTACAAATGAACCTTGAAGAGACAGTGCACCGATTCCTGCTTGTTTTACAATAATCTATTTTAAGAAGATCCTTGTTTCAGAATACATATTACCATTCAAGGCTGCCTTATTTTATTTATGGTTTCACTGTACTACTTGTAACGAGCTGATACTACTGAATATTTCATTGAATGAAATACTTACACTGTATTCAGATTAAATTTTCCAGATTTTGCAACCTGGTTATTTTGAAATTTAAGGTCTCTGGAAAATTTTATTGGTCTCTTTTGTTAATAATGGAAGTTTCTGCAAGATCATATTTCCGTCTCAGGGATCAAGGATAGATGAAAGATTGGAAGATGCTGTCAATGTCCTACAGCGCCACGCAGAGACCACGGGAGGCATAACCGGTGCTGGTCCACACTTGGGAGCCACATCACATGGGGGCTCTCTTCCACCATATCCCTCAGCCCTGGACTCTCACTTGGGTGGTCCACCCAATTCTACTTTTACACCCTTGGGGTCCCACTCACAAGAGCTGAAAAGTCTTGGGGTACCAGGTAGGAAGATTTCTTCTATATTTCATAATAAAGAGTAGGGAATCGGATTTCAATCCACTTTCCACTATTATGGTGTCTACGAATACTGTGAAAGGCTTTATGAAGAGCAATATAGCTAAAAAACAAAAATTATGTGAGACGTAGCAAGAGAATTACAGTATCGCTGCACTATTATCTAGGACATTTGATACGAATGGATGTACACTACAGGTGTTTACTGTTATATGATGGGGTTAGGGGCTATGCAAAGCCATCATAAGGTGATTGATCGTGCAATATTAATAAATTCTGGGAGGGGGGTTCCATTCCCGTGGCCCTGAAGAGCCTGAGTTAGCACTCACAGCGGTTATTTTTTAACCCGTAATTTCGGGTAGACTAATTTACACAAAATTTTTAGTACAGAATATGCAAAAAAAAAAAATGCATGTAAATGAGGTAAAAAAATATAAAGGGAATAAACATTTCTTGCGTGCACAGGCAATATTACAGCGGGGGTAGTCTTGCACATTTTTTTTTTCTTACATGCTCATACAGGTACAATCTTTCATACAAAATGTAAATAAATATTGTAAGGTAAGAAGCATAAATGGATTAAACATTTCTTCATGCCCGCTATGACCTATGTTAGGGTTATTTTTCAACACAATTTCAGGTAGGTATGCAGAACATAATTTTCTTCATTTTTTTTGCTCTTACGTGCACACAATCGTTTATACTGAATTCACAAAAAAAAAAAAAAAATTATTATAAGGTGAAAATTATACCCGGTAAAGGGAATAAACATTTCTTACACATCATTGAGTTAGCTGTGAACAATGTTATGGTTAGTTTTCAAAACATAGATATACGTAATTTTGTTTTCTCTCTTACGTGCACACACAATTGTTCGTACAGAATGTTAAAAATTACAGTAAATAAATATAAAATAATTATCATAAGGTCAAAACCATAAAGGGAATAAAGATTTCTTATAACGTGTGAGTTCTGCTATAACGCGAATTTGCTCTAACGCGATTTATGAATAGAGGAACGATGTTTGTATAACGCGAACTCTTGTTTGATGTAATGCGATTTTTGCTTACCATTTCTCCAATTTTGTGGTATTAACTGTGAATATGGTAAAGAAGAATATCTCCAAGAAGCGTTCTGGTGATCGAATTCCTGGTGATGATCGCAAAAGAAAGGATATAACACTTGAAGAGAAGCTCGATGTTATCAACTTCAAAATCACCCTTCTCCACCATCATGTTATATTCATATTTTTTCAAGGTAAAGTGTTACATTTACTGTATGATTTCACTATTAGATATGAATGTAACATTTATTTAGACTGTGCTATCCTTTATGTTAGGCTAACTACTAATTTTTTTTCGATTTCGAGTAGTAATCTGCACCTAACCCTATTTTCTCCATAAGCCCTGTTATTTCTATTACGCGATTTTCTGTAACACGATATTTTACAAGAACACAACTATCGCGTTATAGCAGAACTGACTGTAACTGTACAGTGCAGTTATATCATGAATGTAAGATGTATAATACAAGGTGACTAGAGGTTTAACCATGCAGTGCAAGTGCAGTATGATGTATTCTGTATGTTGAAGGGTGTTTGAGAGTTGTATTTATTAAAATAAAAATGGTTAAAACGTAATGCAGGTACTCCTTGACTTACGACCACCTGGACATACGACCGCCGCAGTCGTACAAATTTTTTTTTCAAATTACCTCTTTTCGAGCCCCGACGTTAGTGATCGCGCTGTGTACTGACACAATTTTTGTTTGTAATTCCTTTGAAAATGGCTGGCAAGCGTAAAAATTAGAGTTCTTTTGGTGCTGAGAAGAAAAAGAGGCACCAATTTTAGATTTTCTATGTATACTGTACCTATTATTTTTGCATTTTCGACTTACTACCAATTCAACTTACGACCTGGTCGCCAGTCCCTAACCCCGTCGTAAGTCAGGGACTGACTATACTGTATCATATTTAATATAATTGAAAACAAGAAGCAGTGAGTACTGTACAGGTAACTTTGGATGGAAATTGCTATTACATCATAATAATAATAATCAGGCCCGTCCTTTAGGGGGGGCGAACAGGGGCGACCGCCCGGGGCCCCGTGCGTGTGGACCCAGTGGCCTCGGACACATTACCTGTTGACTGGTTAATCTGACCTGACGGCTTACGCCACCATAGCAACCGTGACCTTACCATCCATAGGGACAGTCCCATGGGGGTTGGTGGGGCCCCGCAGTGGCCGAGTTGTCTCGGGCCCCGCATCCTCCTAGGGACGGCCCTGATAATAATAATAATAATAATACTGTACATTAATAGTAATAATAATAATTATTCAGTAAAGTTGTCATACAGGTTTACAATTGGATAATCATGTCTATAAACTGTGAGGTTATGCAGTGCAGCATGAATATAGACAATGTAGGTATACGGTACACGTAGGCCGTGGGAGTACAGTAATTTCTCCGTTAGCCAAAATCCCTCTGCTGGACATCTCCAATGAAATTTTTTCGGAATTTTTCCGGAAAATTCCTTTCAATTCTGGGTTTGGAAACATTTTTCCAAGGTTGAAAAATATCGGGCACATTTTTTTTGGAAAATTCTGAGAAAAACTCAGAAAATCATAAAAAAAAAATCTGGGTTTGAGAACAAATTCCGAGGTTGAAAATCATGTATTTTCTGAAAATTCTGAGAATGATTCCAGAAATTCTCCAATTTTTTCTTGGATCTGGGAGCAAATTCCGAGAATGAAATACTTGTACCTGTAATGCGCAATTATCTGAAAATTCTGAGAAAGTTTTCCCAGTACAGTACCCGGAAAAATTCTGGGGATGGGGAATTTCTTTTCGCATTTGAGAGTTGTCTCGTTACCCTAAATCTCTCAATCCTGTAAGTGCTCTGCACGAATTGTTTCAGTTAACGGGAATATCACTGTGCCGTACTTTATTCAGTTTTGTGTGTACCAAGAAAGCACATTACGTTGCTCTTGGACTTTCCGTGGCAAGTGTGATTCAGCCTCCGTTGCTTCACTCTCGCTGTCACACTTAACATGTTCATTGATTGAAAAACTTTGTGACAAATGAGATATCTTGCTCTCATATCAAGAATGAACCTCACTGCCTTGTTTTGAACAATTTGTAGCTTGGATTTTAGCATCTATGTTAGGGCAGAGTACTGTCACGAGCAGGAATAATCCAACTAACATTGCATGAGTGCCAGCAAAGGATCATATGGGCATCAGCTAGAGGCATTTAGCATTTTTATAGAGAAATTTAATTTTCGCATAACTTATTTTAAGTATATTATCTACTATTAATTCACTGGACAAACAAGAGTCAAGAGTTAGCCCAGGGTATTTCACTGAGGTTACAGTTGAGATGGGCTCATTTCTACATAGTGTGTACAATGAATTGATTGACCTTTTTTTTTTTTTTTATTCTTTTTCATTCAAATAATATTGCCTCAGTCTTTCCAAGATGTAGGGATAGTTTGTTGTCTATGAGCCACTGCTTGCATGACTCCATTTGAGATGCTAACACTTTAGCATTATCATTTGGATCTTTACCCGACACCAAAGAGCACTTTCATCAGCATACAGCAAAAGATTACAATTAACTCTAATGGGCATGCCATTTATGTAGCACAGGAAGAGCAAAGATTCTAGGATACTCCCTTTTGGGACTCCACAGGCTATTTGGCATGGATGTTGCTCAGTGTTATTTGCAACAACATTTTGTTTCCGGTTGCTAAGATGATTAAAACCAGTCATCAGCCTGCAGTTTTTCACATAGTATATCAGGATCAACTGTGTTGAAGGCATTTTACAAGTCAAGCATTACCCTACCTGTGTAATTTCCCTGAGCTGTTTGGGATCTAGTACAGTCAGTGAAATGGATCAAATTGAATATCAGTTGAGTGAGAGCCCTTAAAGCCTGAGTGGTAGCTTTACAGATATGGAAGTAGATTGGTTCTATTATGATTTTTGTTTTTGTTTTTTTACAGGATTAGCCTACTCGGGCACAGGTCAATGACACACATCAGGGCCTGGGGGCAAAAGTATAATAGTAATAATTATTAAAAATTAATAAAAAAATTAGACAAAATATTAAGTAAATATATAAAATAAAAATATACTAATATAATAATAATAGTAATGATATAATAATCATGAAGGACCATGAATAAAAAAAAGAAAAGAAAAAAAGATCAATTGAGAGAAAGAATATACTGTACAGTATGTATGCTGTGTTGTCAAAGTAAGAGAAACAATTGAAACCCTACAATTGTGTGTAAATGAGGCAGAAAGTCAGATCAGCAACCTGAGAGTTGGTCCCAATTTTTTTGATGCCATATGGCAGCAGTGTCTACCATTAGGCAATACATTATGCTTCAATATCTTCCCAGGCAGTATAATACACTTCAGGCATGCATATCAAGCGCTTCAGCAAAATGATGATAATGTTAGCTCTTGACAAGGTAAAGTCTCCTTGACATGATGACTAAGAACTTAGATACCTATGAGAAAGGTCTTAATGTTTTTGGACATGATATATCCAAACTTACCAGTTATTGAATTACTGTAGATTTATTTACAAGTTGCTGGAATATTTATCTCTAGAAAAAAAAAATCTAATTCTCCAACATTTGATATGATGCTTCCATCATGTTGAATCTCAGCTGGACATATATTACTCATCCCCCCCCCCTTTGCAGTTATTTATCAATATTTTCATCTTATCCATCAAAATACTTTTATACTGTACAGTATTTAAATAAAAATAATACAGTGGTCATTCGTTAACCGAATCCATTGTTTCAATGGGATATTGGGTAATTGGTTCCAGCTCACTGAAAATTACATACAAAGTTAAAAAAAAATGCAGTAAAGTACACTTATTTTGAGGTGTGTATGTAGAAGGCTCCTGGATGATGATGCTGATGGGAATTAGAAGTGGGGGGGTGGAGGAAGAGAAGGGAGAAGAGAAGGAAGTGGGGGTGGAGGAGAAGCATTTTTACTGCTTCTTGGAAGGCGAGTCACCTTCCATAATAATGTCAGGAACCTCTGGACTGACAGATTCTCCAACAGAAAAATCCTCTCTCCTTTTTGAAGAGGAAGGCTGAGGGGAAGCATCTTTCTCAAGCTGCCTTTTAGAGATGAAACTGTCAATTTTTCTTTGTGGGGTATTTCTCCTCCTGATCATTAGCTGGTTCTTGAAGGAGGAGACCACTTTGTCCTCCACTGTACACAAAATTGGTTCTGTTGTTTCCACATCAGGGTGCCTTGAAGCCAGTTTCCTGAACATCTCCCATTGGTGAACAATATCTTTTAAGTCTGAGGAAGACATATATGGTTATCACTTTCCTTTTCCTCTTCACCACTGTCTGTTTCTAGCATCTCATCCAGCTGTTTCAAATCTTCAGGAGTAAGTTCCTGCTCATGAGACATCACAAGCTCTTCAACATCATCCTCCTTCACTTCGAGTACCATTGACTGACCAATGGACACAATCTCCTTGTCCAACTCCGTTTCTTCCTCAAATCCCTCAAAATCATGGACTGCTGTTGGCCACAGTGGTGTTTCCATGCAGAACTCAGGGATCGAATGGAGACTTCTTGCCATGCTGACACGATAAATTTTACAGCCTCCAGGATGTTGCATTGCATCTTCCAAAACTGTGCCAGTGTTAGTGCAGGATCAGTGGAAGTTGCCTGATAACACCTCCTGAACATTTTCTTCATGTACAACTTCTTGAAGTTGCTGATCACATTCTGGTCCATTGGCTGCATGATTGATGTAGTGTTGGGAGGCAAAAACAACACTTTGACAAAGTCAAATTGAGCCTCCAAAGTGCTGGCAAGTTCAGGGTCATGACCAGGGGCATTATCCATAAGGAGAATAGCCTTTAAAGGGAGTTTATTGGTGGTTAGGTAGCTCTTGACAGAAGGGCAAAACACCTTTACCCGTGCCTTACGGTTTGACTTCCAATAAACTCCAAGTTGTCCTCTTACCACCTTTTGTTGCTTGAACACCCTGGCGTTCTCAGAGTGGTAGACAAGCATAAGCTTCAGTCGGAAATCCCCTGAAACATTGGCACCAAGCAATAGAGTGAGACGGTCCTTCTTGGGTTTATGCCCCAGTAAAGAAGCTTCATCTCTGGTATTGAATGTCCTTTTGGGCATTTTCTTCCAGAACAGCCCAGTTTCGTCCACATTGAACACTTGCTGTGGAAGATAATTTTCTTCATTCACCAGTTTCTTAAAGTCCACTACAAACTTTGCTGCTCCTTCTTTATCTGCACTTGCAGCCTCACCATGCCTAATAACACTGAAAATGTCACTTCTTTTCTTAAAATTTTCAAACCAGCCCTTGCTTGCCCAAAAATCTTTGAACTCTGTGCCAGAAGAACCAGGTTGATCTTCCTTTAAATGTTTGTAAATCTCCCTGGCTCTTTCACAAATAAATTCTGTAGAAACTGAATCACCTTTCATTTGCTTTTTCCTGATCCAAATGAGAAGTAACCTTTCTGTTTCTGATATCAATGATCTACCTTTAAACAGTCTGGTAGATTTGTCTCTCACTTTCACTTCTTGAAACTTGTCTTTTTGTGCAAGAATTGTCGACACAGTTGATGCCGACATGCCATAGTCTTTACTAAGCACATTTGTTCTAATGCCCTGTTCATGTTTCTTTATTATTTCCTGTTTTACCTGGATTGAAATAACTTTTCTCGATTTCTTTGGAGCCATGCTGGATTCAATTTCAACACTGAAATTTTAAGTTTTATTGCTGTAAATAAAGAATATTTTCTTGAAATAAACACTGCACTGTGCTATATATTATCAATATGTAAAATATATTTCAAAATGACCAATAATTTGACTGTAAAAACAGAAAAAAAGAGTTTATGTTGAAGAGAGTCTCAAACAAGATGTTCCTTCCACTGAACCGATACACAAACTGACGCCAAGCTTGGTGTGTTATGAGTGGCTGTTTGGCACGTGAAAAACTAGTTTCCTGTACTTATTATGTTCAATAATTGTTAAAATGACTAAAAAAAAATTAATATAAAACTTTTAAAATTATTGAATAGTACATTAAAATTATTGAATAGTACAACCTTCTTGATAACTGTATTTACTAAAATGGTAACGAATTTAAGCCCTAGAACCGATTACTGTATTGGCGGACTAATATTACAGCTGGTGAGCAGCCGAAAGCAAGCGAAAACATGGGGAAAATTCGTAAGGAATTCGTTAACCGAAATTTTTTCGTTAACCAAAATGAAGAATCTTTTGGAAGGTAATTCGTTAACCGAGGGATCACTGTATATATTCTTTCAGTGAAAACGAGCCCGGAAGGGGCATAAAACAACGTCATTCACTAAGTGACTTGAAAGCAGAGGAAATTAGTCACTAAAGATCGAATGTCTTCTTAGAAATAGAAGACGAACCGTGGTCGCCATGCTTGACCAGACCGTATAAAAAATTGCCCCAAACACAATATCTAAAATACATAATCAAAATAAAAGTCACTCGATTTCCTCACCGTGCTAAGGTGTATAAATACCAAAAATAAAATCCTCGTGGCACATAATATTTCAGCTATTACAACACAAATTAGCGAAGCTTTCCTTGCGCGTATTTACAGCTGTTTCGCCAGGTAAGAAGATGACGGTAGCTATGTGTAATAATAATAATAATAATAATAATAATAATAATAATTAACGGTTTATTGAAAAAATTCTGCAGCCCGAAGGCTGAAAATATACATTGGACATAAATGACTTATTACATACATTGGTGGTTTAACAAAAGCCTTCATTAGAGAAAGGTAAAGGAACATACAGATTAATGTAGGTGTTGAACAGCAACTCGTAGTGTAGTAACTCCCTCCCAGATGGTGTTAGGAGGAACTCACGTGGTGTAGTAGTTCCCTCAGATGGTGTTATGAGGGACCTGGCGTGGTGTAGTAATTCCCTCGCAGATGGTGTTATGAGGGACCTCATATGGTGTAGTAATTACCTCATAGATGGTGTTATGAGGGACCTCACGTGGTGTAGTAATTACCTCACAGATGGTGCAATGGAGGGTGCGGGAGGGGGTTTTGGGAATTGCAATTAAATGCTAGGTAGCGACGTGTCTTCCTAATATTACGTATTTAAGTCATTATTAGAGGTTTTAATTGCCTGTATGTTGGCCTGGCGAGTTAATGCTAGGCATTTACATACCTAGGTAAAAAACTAGACGTCGCATTCTGGACTATATCCAAAAAATTGGTTTTTAGAATTTATTTATTTATTTATTTTTATTTATTTTTTATTTATTTTTTTTACATTGATATTATAGGTACAGTATATACATATTTTACAGTGGAGTTGATATATATTCATATGATAAGTGGGGGAAGCAACACAACATGGGTTGTATTAAGGTGAAACAAGGGGACATACTGGTAATACAGTCAGGATCATGTCTTGAGGGCAAATAAATAATTATTGCAATGGTAATTTCTATCTATCTGTGTGACAGTATGTATATTAAATGATGATTTTGGCGGTACAATAAAAATAAGAGTATAAAGTAAGTGTTACAAAAATATTAATACTTAGACAATAAATATCTTTTTAAGAGATGATTCAAAGGAAGGGTGCATAGTCTTTGCTTGGATGGGAGGGAGTAAGTTGTTCCACACCATGATATTTTATGGAGGTGTGGGACTGAGAGGGGTGGTCTTAGTAGCTCTGGGTGTCTTAAGTTTTATACACAACTCTCAGTATATAGGCTATCAAAATTTTCATAGTTAAACATGGGAATACATTGATGTTTGAGAATCTTACACAAAACTTTTCACATTTATAGGGTTCCAAAATTTAATGAAGATTTTCATGTGTATTACAGTACAGTACCAAGATTCAATTGTGGGAAAAGTGTAATATGGAAGATGGACGAACAAAATATTATTGGCTTTAAAGTAATAATTAAATTTTGAAGAAATATATGATGATAGTGTTGCATTTCAGGCTTAGGTGAAAGTATTAAGGAGAAATTGGAAGTTAAGTCTGAAGAATTGTCCAGCTCACACCTGCCTACAACCACAGTTGCGGCAACTATGCCAGCAGGAGCAAAGGGTGGCAAGCGCTCTCGCAGGTAGTGGTAATTTTATTTATGCTTGCTGAGATGGGTGTAGTTAGAGGCCACCATTCTAGAACATCAGTTAAACTTTTTTTTGTTAAATTTGAACTGTAATTTTTTTAAAGAGTTATACAAGCATATGATATTTGGTGTTCAAGCAATTTTAGGCCTTTATTGTTTGCCCCATCTCGCACGTTTCCTAAGTTGTGTTGCACCAGTGTTTGAGCAGTGCCGGGCCTTTGCAAAGAGGGGAGCTTTTTCACCTTTTAACTTTAAATATTCCATTAGAAAAAAAATTGCTTATTGTTTTATGCTTTATAGAAATTTGATATGTATCTATCCTGGAGTATTTATGTGATAAAAGAAAAATACACTGTAAGCTATTTTTCTACAAAAAAATGAAATGTCCCGCTTTTTAGTTTATCCCAGTTCAGCTTGCCTGACCCTTCGAAGCAGCTTGGCCCACCTCTGCTCGGACTTCTGGCTTCTGCACAGCAGTGAGTCAAGTCTACTGGTTTAGTGTGAAAGTAGCCATGATAAAGATAAAATACATTGTTTGATCTGTCCTTATGAAAGGTGGTGATGGGAACTAGTAGATTCAGTTATCATCTAGAGAAAAACTAACATGGCCAGTATCAACTTTGTACTGATAGTTTGTGATTTGAAATACCTGTATTAAAGTAGGGAATTTTGTCCAATGGTTCAGTATTGAATTACTCCCAACCTTTTAGTCTCGGTAATATTTCAGGAACCTCTTGTTTCTAATTTTTTTCTTGTTAAATGTTGTTTTCTGGGCTAAATCGGCTTTTATTTGATTTGTGCTTATGTTTGCAATATTTGAAGATTTTATAATTGTTGTGAGGATAAGAGGATTTTGAGAAGTTTAATATTACAGTAGTTATATTTTAGAAGAGCTTTGTTCTAGGCTATTTATACTGACGCCTCTTAGTTCTGGTTCCAGCACGGAGGATGAAGAATGTACAGACCCTGAGACTAAAGCGCTAAGGGAGAAAGAGCGACGTCAAGCAAACAATGCCAGGGAAAGGTAGGTCATGAAATTAATTTAAAGTTTAATTTACAATTTTACATGAATTAATTGTTAAACCAAGTTTTCTTTATGCAAAGATGTAGACATTACTCGGTTGAACCTTATTATTTTTCATGAATGTATCTTAAAAACAGTACAGAAATAATACTGTACAGTATACAGTATGTATGAAAAATATTTTAAATAAAACAAAGAGCTGATAACAGGAATAATGGTAATGGGAAGAACGAGTGAAAAATTATGTGAGGATAATTCCTCTTGTGATAGAATGATGAGGGGTGACTGGGGAAACATTGAATTATGATTACTACTTGATTTAATGTGAAATAATAAGGTTTTACTGTATGTAGTTTTGAAGAGATAGAACAGTGTGTAAAATATGTCATCATTGATGGGAAACATAATGTCTGTTGTGTCTTCTCCCCAGCAGTCTCATTGTTTTGTGGATGGATAACATTAATGTATTTTGATTTCAAGGTGTTAGAATATGAACAGTGGGTGTGGCCAGTGAGTAGGAGCATCAGTGAAAGAAAGAATTAATTTCTTAACTTCTTCCCTGATAATATTTCTTTGGGTGTCCCAGAAAAGTGTACCTAAAATAATTTTGCTCGGAAAAGCCCCTTTCCTACCAATCATTGCTTGTATTCTAACAGCGAGATTGTTCATCACTCTTAGGAAAGTTTCAAGTGGAATAATGTTTTCTGAATTTCACGTCGGATGTTGTCCTTGAGTTCAAGGTTCCTTGGTTTTGGGTTGGTGTAAATCCTATCCTTCAAATACCCTGAGAAAGAAATCTGGGGGTGTTGGGTCAGGGGAATAGGGAGGCCACTCAACATCTTCATACAAGGAAATCAAACGGCCTGGGAAGTGCTGCATTAAAAATTCTCTAGTTTCCCTTGCAGTATGCAGAGGAGCTCCATCTTGCTGGAACCACCGAGTTCCTATATGTATTTGCACATTCATTCGATGAGCTTGTTTGTGCAGTTCCAGAATGTAGAAGTCCTCTATCAGATTGTTCTGCCAGCATTATCCTATGGCCACCCACTTTTTAACTTTAAGAACAGGTTAAGGCATTTCTTCAATAAGTCGACTACCTGGATTCTCAGTTCCCCAATATCAAAAGTTATGTTTGGTGATGACTCCAAACAAATGGGCATAACATTCATTGGTCTTGTGAAGCTTGCTCGGGAAATTCTCATGTCTCGACTTTCTCAGAAAACCACTGTGCAAATTCTTGTCTTTTGCTTACTCTCTGACTGAATTTTGTATGGGAATGCATACAAGTCGGCCCGAAGGATATGTTGCACCGACGACCTCCAAATGTTAGTCTCTGCAGTGAGTCGACAAATTGATGTCCTTGGACTGCTGATGCACGACTCCCTCACCAATTTCACATTTTCAGGTGTGCGAGCTGTCTTGCGTGTCCCACTTCTTCCTTTGTTCACATTGCAACAGTTCCATGAGTCTTCCTATCAGGAGCATTAGCAGTTTTGAAATGTTACAAAAATTTTGCTGCACCCGCACTACACTTTTTGTCTGGTGCCAAAACTCAGTTTTTGGTTCTTTGATTTAGAGTCAATTGTGACATCCTTCATATGTTTGGTTGCTTGAAACAAAACTTGAGGGTATCTGAAACAACAACAACAAAATTGATGAGATGGGAATACAATATTAATAAAGTGTTCTTGTGACACTTTCTTTATAGTGCCATTTTTCTGGGACACCCTACAGTATATGTATATCATTATGCATCTGTACCAGTTTAATGAAATTGAGGAGACTGCACCAGTCTCCTCTTTAGTCAGATCATTGTGTTATTTCATAGGCATGTTATGAGATACCATAAATAAACACAAACATATACATTTACATTTCTTATAACCTCACATCCCAGCAGGTTATTGAGAGCAGTTAGAGAACTACCCTTATCTAATTTATTTTTGGGGTAAGCTGCTTTAAAGAATTTAACAACAGAAATGCAGTACTGTACTGTGCTGTACTGTACAAATTTATCATTGAATGCATGAGGACTAGTTTTTAAGGATGAAACTTAAATTTCCAACCCAGTCAGAAACTGAACCATGACCATTGGATTGTGACAAACATGAATGCTTTATTAACTGACCTGAGGAGTCATTATACTGCACTGTAGTTCAAAATAATTTTGATGTGTAGAACCAGTGGATCTTTCTTCCTCACAGGTCTTTCCTCTGATAGTTTTGATTGTATTTTAGCACCTTAGGGTAATAGTGTACAGTATACCTGTACATATTATTTCATATTCATCTGTAGTTACTCAATCCTCTATTCACCTAATTTGATTTATTCTTTAGAGAAGCATTTATTTTATAGTTTTTCTGCACACCATATGCTCATAGCATATGGCTTTCTCCCTTCCTAGTAGCTTTTATCTTAAAAATTCTTTTGATCAATAAATCTTGCACATAGGGAAGATTTTGTATAAATATGAATTCACATTTACAATTTCCTTAAACCCTCTTAATCATCAGAAAAAAACAAAGTTTAACTGATGTTATAACTGCACCCATCTCAGCAAGCATAAATAAAATTACCACTACCTGCAAGAGCACTTGCCACCCTTTGCCCCTGCTGGCAGTGGGGAGTAGGCAGCTATCAAACAGGGAGGTACTACTGCCTGGGAAGATATTGGAAACATTATGTATTGTCTAATGGTAAACCCTGCTGCCATATGGCATCACAAATATTGTGACCAAGTCCAGACATGGGGTGATTACATCAGTAATGTAATTGATTACATGGTAATTATATGATTACAATTATAGTAAAAATGTATGTAATCGATTACTATTACATGATGCATAATCATGATCGCAATCATGATTACTTGAAAAGGAGTGTGCATAAATAAACAAATGTATTACAAATACCTGTACTCAATTTTGTACTGTTTGTCAACCTGGTACAATTAAATAATATTTTCTGGGAGATTAAAATGGTAGACATAATGCATTATACATAATGGTGCGGGCATTTGTCAACCTGGTACAATTAAATAATATTTTCTGGGAGATTAAAATGGTAGACATAATGCATTATACATAATGGTGCGGGCATTTAATAGACAAGAAAAAATCAAAATCTTTAATAGATGGATACGTATAAATTTTAATGAGATTAACATGGAAATTATAAATACTGTATAGAAATGTATCTGACCTAAATAACTCTGAAGTGTTCTGAAGTTTGAGAATATTATTAACACACATGCTTATTAGAGCATAGTAATTTAGTGCTCTGATAAAATTAAATGTATGGTAAACTGATATACCTAAGACATTACTTTCAGTAAATGTAGATTATCAAAACAATACTGTAATTTTAAATTTCAAATTTAACTTTTTTTTTTCTTAGATAAGCATTAGACCTCAAAGGTTTTGAAACCTACTGTGTGTATTATATCAAAGATAGTTTCAAAAATAAAAACAATCTAATGCTATTCATTTAAGCAATTAAAATGTACAATACATATTGTACATCAATAACAGTAAGATAAAATTGATAAAATTATTAGCCTAAGTCTGCACGTTAGCGTGTTCTTAGTTTGCTTAGATGTAAATCGGTGATTACCAGCACAAATGTTTAACTCTTACTGACTTGATATTTTGTTACTAGCCGCTAGAATATTACAGACATAATATGGTTGGTGAATGTTTGCAGAGTCTTATAAAGGACCGAATGTAGATGACTATTGAAAATCATGAGCTCAGCATTGTAAGAAAAGGAAATGAAGTACCAGTATGTACTTACTATTGTAATTGTGAAAGTAATTGTAATTACGATTACATTTTGAATGTAATTGATAGCGATTATAATTACTTTGCTAAAACTTATAATGAAATCGAATCTACATGTATTACGATTACAGGTTATGATTAGCCCATGTCTGACCAAGTCCCAGGTTACTGGTCAGACTGACTTTCTGCCTCATTTACACACAATTGCAGGTCTCAAATGTTTCTCTTACTTTCACAACACAACATATATATCTTTTTTCACTCTTGATTTCTTTTAGTTTATTTCTATTTCTGTATTTTGGGTTCAAAGAATCCCCCTCCCAACAATTAAGCCAGCAAATGTCCTGATGTGTTTGATCTCTACACCTCTTCTTTTAAACAGTTTCATCATAAGTAAGAGATGCTTTATTTTCTTCTTGATATTTGATAACCAGCCCCGATTCATGATTGCTTGTTTAATCTATTCGTATCATACACTTCGTTTTTCAAATCCTTGTCATACTGGCAATGACATTGGCCATTTTTATGTTTGCCTTGCTTATGTACTTCTTTTCATTTATCTGCACCTAGTACTTGTTACTTAAAATATCCATGCCCCTTTCCCAATAAATTCACATATGTTATACAGTAATGCTGGAATTTATAAATGCTTATAACCAGTGTGAATTGGGGAATTAATAAAAAATTCAGACATTTTTATCAGATTAACCACAAACTTAATTTTTTAAAATGATAAATAGCAGACATACAGTACAGTAGTTTGGGAAGAATATAAAACCATCTCCAGCTTAGTATATGTGGATAATGATATCATTAGACCTGAAATTCTCTCACTTTGTGGAGGCAGAAGATGACTGCTTCACCCGCATAGTAGTTGAACTAACATTACCACATTCTTCAGTTACTGTTCTTTATATTGTTATAAATTGGGAAGACGTACATGTTTAATGTGTTCAGGAAAGATTCAGTTCTTGTCACCTACTTTGAGTACTGCTGGGGAGGTACCATAATTCAAAATTAAAATATATTCCTTTTCAGGAAGGCTGAAACGTTAAAAAATAAAATAAAATAAAATAAAAAGTTGTACTGAAATGAAGGTAATTCATATACAGTGGTCCCTCGATTAACGAACACAATTGGTTCCACAGAGTCGGTTGTTAACCAAAAATTTTGTTAACTGAATCTATTATTTCAATGGAATATTGGGTAATTGGTTCCAACTCACAGAAAAAGTATACATACAAAGTGCTGTATACCGATAATAAAATTAACAAAACATTAAATATAAACTAAATACTGTACTGTACAGTATACTGTACAATAATAAATAAGAAACAATAGAATACTGTATTTTAACTTACTTTGAGGTGTGTATGTCTTATTCCCGGCAGCTTTGTTTACATATCAAACAGCTGATTGTAGAGGCAGCCGATGATGACATGCCATATTCTTTACAGAGTGCATTGGTTTTAATGCCTTCTTCATGTTTCATAATAATTTCTGCGCTGTATATTATGAATATGTTTACTAAATTTCAGAATGACCATTAATTTTAATGTAAAAATGCAAAAATATTTAAGAGACCAACAAACTCGATGTTCACTCCACTGTAAACAAAGTTAAACTGAGAAGCGTTGGTGGGTGATTCAATCAGTTGAAGGGCACACAAAAACTGTTCCCTGTACTGTATATATTATCAATATGCTAACTAAATTTCAGAATGACCAATAATTTTAATACAGTATAAAAAATGCAAAAAATATTCAAGAGCACAACTTTCTTGATATTTACTCCACTGGAAACGAAGGTAAATATAGAACCAATTACTGTATTGGCGGACTAGCCGATCAGCTGATGCGCACAACAAAGTGTGTTTCTTATAAGGCTGTCTTTAATAGAAAATTTGTTCGCTAATGGAACTGAAAATCCTTATGGGAGCTAATTTGTTAACCAAAATTTTGTTATTTGAACCATTCATTAATAGAGGGACTACTGTGCTGTAATTTTTTTCACATGCACATAGTTTTCTGCTCAAGATGGATTACACAATTTTAATTTTCTCTTATTTGGAAGGCAACTTCTAAAAAAAAAATCTACCACCTGTCTCCTTTTTTTAATTGGTTTCTTTTTTAGATTAAGAAAATAAGATTTAATTTCACCATGAAGTTCTTTTTCTTGGATTCTTCATTTGCTCTGCTTGTATTTAATATTTCCCCTTCATATTGGGTGTTGTTGATTTTATTTTTATTTTTTACTTTATTTCATTCTTATGGATAATGTGCATTTTTATTAATATATAAATATTTCACTTCCAGATATACAGTATATATATATATATATATATATATATATATATATATATATATATATATATATATATATATATATATATATATATATATATATATATATATATATATATATATATATATATATATATATATATATATATATATATATATATATATATATATATATATATATATATATATATATATATATATATATATATATATATATATATATATTGCAAGCATGTTCAAATTTAGTATATACTGAATTCTTGTCAAGAGTAAGATTGGAAACCGTAAATGTGCTCATTAATTGTAACTACCAAATAACACAGATATGAAGGGGCTACTGTCTTACATACGCAGATGGTCTGTAACTAAATACACCCTTAAACTTTTGCGTGCTTCATGATTTCGTGAAGTGCATTTAAGCACTTTTCACATCTGAAATCCCTTTGGTTATCAATGATGATGACATTTACGGTTTTGCCTTTCAGAGTACGAGTTCGTGATATAAATGAAGCATTTAAGGAATTAGGTCGTATGTGTATGATCCATTGTAAGAATGATAAGGCGCAGACCAAGCTAAACATTTTGCACATGGCAGTGGAGGTGATCACCACTCTGGAGCAGCAGGTTAGAGGTAAGCCTCCCATGCTGACCCTACCTCTGGGGGCTACACTGCCCTCACCCACCCTCACACCCTCCCAATCCCACAACCACATGCCTTGATATCACAGGCACACTTGAACAATAGGCAAGTGTTTTTTACAAATAAAGTGTTAAAAGACCAAAGTGGTTGTGGTATGGTATAGGTGGCTGGAAATGAGTGTTGGGTAGGGTAGATATATTCCCAGCTTGGGGTTCTTACCCACCCACTAACTAATAGCACTAACACACCATCACCTGTTCTTTCATCCACCAGGATCAGAATCCGTGACATAAACGACGCTCTCAAGGAACTGGGGAGGATGTGTATGACACATCTGAAAACTGACAAGCCCCAGACTAAGCTGGGTATTCTCAACATGGCAGTTGATGTTATAATGTCGCTCGAACAGCAAGTCAGAGGTACACACTTGTTACTAATAGACTGAGTGCAGTCATTGGTGTCTCATGTTATGCCTTCATTAAATCACATAGTTATCAGCCCAGCTGTGTGAAATATCTTTTGGAACTATTTAGTCGGTTAAATTTTATTTGGTTTTCTCTTGAGTTTTATCATAGGAATTTTCAAATGCACATCTCTCTGGTTTTCTAGATGGTTGAGGAGCCTTGTGAGTAAAGGACCTTTTTTCACTAAAACTTACTATGTTATCCTTCATATTCATTTGGGGATCAATATTGCACATCGTATCTTGGCTCTGATTGCATCACATAATTGAGGGTTAATGGATTTTTGTAAAGGACACTTAAATGCTCAAGTATGTATCGAGCTGGTTACTCTTTATCATGTCAAGACCTCTTGCTAAGCTTTTGCTTCCAACATAGGGGAATGCTGGTGTACAGTAGTTGGAGATGGCAGGCTACCTGCTTCAAAATTTTTCATAATAGCCTTCAGAATTTGAATTTTTTCAAGTTCTTCAATGACTAAATGTATTTTTTATTATTAACATGAGCCCATTGTTTTCACAAGTGTTAGGAGTAAACTTCCTTGGTATTAGATCCTTTACTATAAACCTACTAGATATCATCCACTTGGTCTTGTGTCCCACTCTCTCTCTCTATACAGTATATATCATCTTTTAATATTTTATCTTTACTGAATGGTCTTGATCCTTGTAAAGGATGGTTGGTTTAACGGCTTTTTTTTATAAATTTATTGATTTATTTTCTTCCATTTTTCTTTGAAGTAATTATTTTATTTATTTTTGCTTTTCTTTTCCTTTTATTTTTGCCTAAATAATGTTTGTGTAAGCCTGTGCTGCATGTTTGGATTTTTGTCCTTGTTAAATTTAGATGTTATAGGAGTTGTGACTGGGTTTTAGCTGGTAATGTTCATTAATTTCTATGTAACTATAGTACAAGAAATGTATTTTCACTGTTCTTTACTTTTCATTTGTATTCCTTCCTTAAATTGTTTTTGTTAATGTTATCTGTAAGAATTTTAATCAAGTCTATATAATTATCTGTTAATGACATTATGATTATCTTAGATGTATTTATATTGTATTTCTCTAAATAATTATAATAAAAGTCAGTGAGTCTAGACTCTAGAGGATGTGTAATCAGATATTTTAAAGGAGATACATAACTTAGAATCTAAACCACAAACTTTCAGGCAACATACTAGATTGTGTCTGTCTTCATGAGACACCCTGCTTTTAAACAGTCATTTATTGAAGGTTAAATAATTATATATTTGGATAGTTTTTTCTTTCTTTTAAAAAAATTCTTTACTGTAGATTTTAATGAATTGATGTTTAATTGGAAAGTTTTCCTTCATATATATATATATATATATATATATATATATATATATATATATATATATATATATATATATATATATATATATATATATATATATATATATATATATATATATATATATATATATATATATATATATATATATAAATATAAATATAAATATATAAATATATACACTTATCCCCCTTTATTCAAGATTTGCGATTGAAATTCAGTTATCCGCGAGGCTGTGAATGTTTTTTTTTACCGACGATTGGCAGATGTGCATCTCCTGCACACACACACACACACACACACACACACACACACACTGCCATTAGTCAGTTCTCTTGTGTGTGCCGCACCGTCCTCCTTCTTTCACTCCACGTGGGAAGGGAGGGTGCTGTAGCACCACAGTAAGGTGCTGTACATTGCACCACAGAGTATGTAGGGCAGGGGTGTCAAACTCATTTGCCAAGGCGGGCCAGATTTAATATGAGTACACAGTATGCGGGTCAAGTAACATAATTATGAGCACTTCGCAATCACCTCCTAGGTGAGTAGTACGACAAAATAAGAAAGGTGGATTTAGTCTGTGCTCGTGCGAAACCCATAAAGACAAACAAATAAATCAAGTGTTTACTTACCTTGATCAATCTTATTGTTTGCTACTGCTGCTTCCTGATAATTGACACCTCTTGGTATGGACCAGTGCATCAAAGTTTGGCACTAACGACTGAGCTGTAGCAACCTTCAGTACTGAATTACGGTGAGCATCAGTAAGTTGAGACCGAAGCCGAGACTTGTTCAAGTTCATCACAGAAAAGAGTTGTTCACAGACATATGTACTTCCGAACATTGACATAATTTTTGAGGCAAAATATTTAATCCTGTGATAATTTGGTCCAAAATATTGATAAAATGTGCCAACATCAACACTCGAAAACTTGTTCCTCAACACAGAATCACACTGGAGCTCAATTAATTCTAACTGAAGATGTGCTGGTACCTCATTAACACCAACAGAGAATGGGTCCCGAAGAAAAAATCCTTCTCAAGTCTTTTAAAGTCAGCAAATCTTTCTTGGAACTCATTCATTAATTTGGAAATCTTGATGCAGTACTTTTTTGTGTTGATATCAGTATGAAACTCAGGTGTGCCTTGCAGGGACTTCAAGGTCAGAAAGTGAGAATGATTACTCTCTGATATTTGCCGTTCAAAAAGCTGAAGTTTCATCTCAAAGGCACGAATGCAGTCATAAAACTCTGTCACCAATTTATTGCGTCCTTGCATCTTTGTATTCATGTAATTTAAGTGTTGTGTAATATCCACCATGAAAGTTAGATCTTGAACCCATTCATTATCTTTCAGTTCATGCAGATCCCTTCCTTTCTGTTCCATAAACATCTGTATTTCACTGCGCAATTCATAAAATTGCTTCAGTACGGCTCCCCGACTTAACCAGCGAACATCAGTGTGATATGGCAGTCCGTGTGTGTTCTCATTTTCCTCCAATAAGCAGTTGAACTGTCTGTGGTTCAGACCTTGCACGCGTATGAAGTTCACTGTCTTTATAGCAACATCCATGACATTATCCATCTTTAATGTTTTTACTACACAACACTTCTTTATGTATAATACAATGCACATTATAAATTTGATGGTTCGGGTTCACAGCTATTAGTTTTTCCTTTAATTTTGTTGCCATGCCAGCTTTTCTACCCACCATTTGCGGTGCTCCATCTGTAGCCAGACTCACAGTTTGTGCCCAGTCAACACCTAATTTATCCAGTGCCCCTACCAAACCCACAAAGATGTCATCACCTGTTGTTGTTCCTTTTATTGGTACCAGTTTCATAAATTCTTCTGTTACCTGCATATTTTCATCCACACCACATATAAAAACTGCAAGTTGTGCTACATCACTTACATCGGTACTTTCATCAATTGCAACTGAAAATGCAGTAAAGGACTTAACTTTGTCTTTGAGTTGACTGTTAATATTCTCTGATAATTCACCAATTCTTTCTGCAACTGTATTTCTTGAGAGGCTTATGTTTGCAAATGCTTGACGTTTTTCCGGGGAAATATCTTCTGAAGCCATCAACATACATTTCTTTATAAAGTTACCCTCAGAAAACGGCTTCGATGACAGCTATTTCATGGGCAATCCTGTAACTTGCCTTAACTGCAGCATCACTGACTAGATGAACACTCCTAAATACTGACCGCTGCTTTTTCAATGACTGCTCCAACTCCTTAACTTTGTCTTCACGTAACTTTCCACTATATTTATTGTACTTCATAGCATGGTTAGTTTCATAATGCCTTCGAGCGTTGTATTCTTTGGCCACAGCAACTTGTTGATTACAAATCAAGCATGTTGGTTTTCCATTCATTTCAACAAAAAAGTATAATATTTTCCACTTATCCTGTACCATCCGACGCTCTTCATTAACTGTTCTTTTCTTTGAAAACATAATTATGAGCTCAAAAGTAAAAACAATGATCACTGCTGCTTTGGATATTTGCAACGTTCCAACTGCCTCGAGCGACTATGCAGGACTAGTACTTGAATGACTGGCCAAGCGAGAGCCTGCTGCGTCAGAGTTTTCATGTCTAATACCTGTACAGTACTGTACGGAGTGTATACGTAAACAGTAGTCAGTCGGCCCGTCTCACAACTCGTACAGTGGCACGCTTACAACCACAATTAACCGTTAAAACTATCTCTAGTCTTATTGTTCTTTCATTGGTGATGTTGATTGAGTATGTTGTTCTAGGAAACAGCAGACTATTTTATTCAGCTGAAGGATACACTCACTATTTAGTTTTAGCTCCTCAAGGTAAGGCTGGAGCAGCAAATGGGCTGCGGGCTGCATGCAAGAGTGTGTCGGGCTGCATGTGGCCCATGGGCCGCATGTTTAACACCCCTGATATAGGGCACCAGAATTAATATTCAGCACTCCCTGGTAAAATTTGATTCCTGCAGTACTGACCCAATAACACTCGACAACCTCCCCCATTCATGTCATGCCACTGTATGCAGAACGTTCCACTTTTATGGTAAATTCAATGTTGAAGACTTTATTTAATCTACAGTGCATTTCCTTTTATCCAAATTCTAACTATCTGAATCTTCCGGATATATGGTCCTGTTCAGTAAAAATTCTAATTTAGTCCAACAACCCAAACGCAACACAAGTCATTCATTCGCGTGTTCTATAACTATTTTGTTAAAAAAAAATTGCTACGATAACCAATAAAATTGATGCACAGCATATCATAAAATATGAAGCACATATTTTATGTACAAAAAATAGCTCCTTCCACACTTAAACCATCATTTAGGTGTGATGCCACACAGTTCAGCCAAGCAGTCAACCAGCTGACTGAGACGGTGTGTGTATGCCGTGACATCACTTTGGGGGAGGGACGTGGGTGAGTTGGCCACGCAGTACAGCTCACTGCCTCCACATACATTCACCTCTCACACACAGCTATGCTCTTAATTTTTCTTATTCTATAGTTTTATAGTATATTTTCATTATATCTAAGTCACATTAGAGTTTGGTAATTTTTACTCCTGCTCTGTATTAAAAAAAAACGGTTTTACGGGTTAACTATAATATCCTGAGTGATATAAGTTACATGTTTATTTATAATCTCAGACTTGAATTATACGTAGAGAAAATAATTATTTTTGTTAAAATTTATTAATTTGAATAAAAAAAACTCATTTTATAATGACATCAACACCATCTCTGAAATGTTTATAATTTCTAACCCAAAATATTATGACAAATATGATCATCTTGATAGCCATGGTACCATATCCTATTTTTACCATAAGGTATTAAATTCAGTACAGTACTGTATATACGAAATCATGATTTGTGACGATTTTCAAGAACGTAACCCTTGCGAGTACAGAGGGATAAGTGTACATTGTATTGGAGTAAGTGAACACTTTTAGTGGTGTTTTGTAACATTAACAATATATAAATATATATATATATATATATATATATATATATATATATATATATATATATATATATATATATATATATATATATATATATATATATATATATATATATATATATATATATATATATAATTTGGATATCTAAATCACAGAATTCAAAGAACCCATAACATGTCAGAATTATATGATGTAGACTGATACATCACCCTGCTGTGGGTGGGAAAATTTATAAAGATTTAGAGAAATGAAAAGATCCTTAAATTCCTTTTCATAATTTTCAAACTACTGGTATATAAAAGAGTTACCGATTTACTGCTACTTTTATCCTCCAGAGCGTAATCTGAATCCTAAGGCAGCTTGTTTGAAGCGACGTGAAGAAGAAAAATCTGATGGTTCTAAATTACCACCACCACACCTGCCACATCCTTCCAGTATGGCCCCACCCTTCCCAAATTTGCCCGTAAGTAATTGTTATTTAGTTTTTAATTTTAGGTAATCACCGGCAACATTCATTCACCATTAGGATTTTAACACTTATGAGATATGTTCAGTTATGGTAAGGGTATATTCTTGAAAAGTTGTCTGTAACCCAAAATGGCTTTTCCCTTTGGCTTCCATCATGTAGCTAATTGGATGTGTTTTGTTGTATGTCAGCTATTCTGTTGGGTGTTATTTATTATTTATAATACAGTCGTACCCCAGTCCGGAAAATGCAAACACCCGAAAAAATAAATCTTGGGAGGAGGTGGGGGGGGTTGAGATAACATTGCTTACCTGGACTGTTTAAAGCAGTGGTTCTTAAACTGGGGGGCGCGAGCGGTCAGAGAGAAAAGTCTGGTCAGGAACTGAACGCATCTTGTACACGATTGCTCATCCTCCCACTCTCTAATAACCAAGGGTTGCATCGGGGGCATGGAATCTGCTCTTCAACAATTAAGGTCTTTAAGTAGATAACAAGGTTAATAAAACACTATTACAGGCAGTCCCCTGGTTATGAACTAGTTCCATTCCTACAAATGTTTTTAAGTCAAAACACATCCCTTTGTGCATACTGTACTTACAGAACATTGTTTAAAATCCCACTATATCATCGCCCAAGTCCTTAATTTAAGAGAAAAGAAGAAATAGAATGACAAAATACAGTACACTACAGTAAACCCTCTCACTTCCAGACTATTAGTGGGGAGAGGGTGTCCGAATGAATTGGGGGACGAAGGCGCGTTAACGATAATCATAATAATGTACATGGACTTTATTGACATGGGAAATAACAATAACAATAGTAATGATGGTTATAAATAATAATACAGTAATAACAATAACAATTACTGTATACAGTATTAGAGTATTACTCTACAGACAGTATTGTTATTACTGTATATCAATACAGTATTTTTTTAACCTGCCTCCTTTTAATTTTAATACAGCTTGCGGTCTCCAACAGTCATCTTAGAGGTCGAAGAATTAGGACTATATTTCATTGTAAATGACTGTGGGGAGTCCTTACCCTTTTGTATATCAGATAACGTTTGCTTAGCGACGCCATATTCATGGCAGCATGTTGCTCCAGCTTCTGAGCTATAGTAAGCTGTGTGCACTTTCTTTTGGGTGCCATTACTACACAACAGTCACAAGGCACAAAAAATCAGGCACAAAATACACGAGGAATAACAAAGGGGCATGATCAAGAGGTAGCGAGATGCGGGCTGGGTCCACTTTAGCAGCGGGTGAGTAAACATGGCATTCAGAGTGAGAGAGAGAGAGAGAGAGACCGAATAGGAATTTGCTACATCCAGACGTCGTCTGGACTAACTGAAATCCAGATATGAGAAGTCCGGAAGTGCGAGGGTTTACCGTAAATGAAAGTAAAAAATAAGTCCTTAGGTAAAGGTAGTAGGCAGCTATCAAACGGGAGGTACTACTGCCTGGAAAAAATTTTGGAAGCATAATGCATTGTCTAATGTGTCTGGGTGGGCTTATTCTTTTAAAAATATAATGTACATTTAAAGTTTAACTTTATTAGACCTCGTTTGTATCAGCTGATGTTCATAAGTCGGACGTATGTAACCCAGGGACCTCCTGCTACATTAACAATAAAAAAAAATGTGAGATCTCTCGCTGGTTTGAAAATAAGATAGAAGTCTGGTTGTCAATAACCGTTTTCACCGTTAAAATTGTTTTGTGCAGGAGGCCCTCAACTTATGAATGCCCACCGATATGAACGGGGTTAAACTTGAAATTTACAGTATTTTATTTACCTGATGACTTATTTTTTACTTTCATTTACTGCATATTGTCATTCTATTTCTTATTTTGTCTTAAATTAAGTGATTTTAGATGTATACAGGTTGACAATCCTTTATCCAAAATCCTTGGGGCCAGAGGCATTTCAGATTTCAGAATTTTTCGGTTTTCAGAGTTTTTGTGTGTGTGTGTGTGTGTGTGCGTGCGTGCGTGCGTGCGGGCACAAGTCACTGACCCACATTGGGGCCTGGGGGTCGAAAATATAATAACAATTATAATAATAATAATAATAATTCATAGGTCTAGGTCATGTTTTTCACTTTTTATCTTTTTTCATTCTTGTTTTCTTTATTATTATTATTATTATTATTATTATTATTATTATTATTTTATTAATACACTATTATTATTATTATTATTATTATTATTATTATATTTTATTATTACAGTGGTCCCTCGGTTAACGAGCACAATCCGTTCTAGAAGGTTGCTTGTTAACTGAAAAACTCGTTAACCAAAACCATTGTTTCAATGGGTTTTTGGGTAATTGGTTCCAACTCATCGAAAATTGCCTAAATTCAACAAAAAAGGTAGAAAAGTACACTTACTTTGAGGTGTGTATGTAGAAGGCTCCTGGATGATGATGATGATGATGGGAATTAGAATGGGGGTGGAGAAGAAGTGAGAAGAGAAGGCATTGGGGTGGAAGAGAAGTCACCCCATGGCGCCATTTCACCCATGAAATTTTAGTTCTCGGTGTAATTCAAGATTATTTTCTTTAAACCAACACTGCGCTGCATTATATATTGTCAATGTGTAAAATAAATTTCAAAATGACCAATAATTTGCTTGAAAACACAAAAAAAAAGCATTTAGTTGAAGAGAGTCTCAAGCAAGATGTTACCTCCACTGAAAAGACACAAAGACTGACGCCAGTATGCTGTGTTGGCAGGCTGGATGGCGTGCCACAAACTAGTGACCCTACCTTCAATTGTGTTCAATAATTGTTAAATTGACTAAAAAATTTAATATTAAACTTTTAAAATTATTGAATACCGGTAGTATAAACTTCTTGATATTTACTAAAAGGAAGGAATTTAAGCCCTAGAACCAATTACTGTATTGGCCGACTAATACTACAGCTGGTGGACCGCCAAATGCAAGCTAGAACATGTGGAGGTCGGCTCGTAAGAAACTCGTTAATCGAGGGATTGCTCGTTAACCGAAGTTAAGAATCTTATGGAAGGTAACTCGTTGACCGAAATCTCGTTAACCGAGGCGTTCGTTAACCAAGGGATCACTGTATACTGTGTACTATAGTGCTGTAGTTTTTCCTTCGTGTTTAGAAAATACTTATTTGCATTTATACTTTTAATTTACAGGGTGATCATCTAAGCCATGGTGGTGCTGGACCTCACTAGTGACCTGACCACCACTGGCAGCAGCTGTAGTCCTCCCACCAAGGACTACATTGGGGGGTTGTGGAGCCCCCCTATAATGGGGCTGGTATATACAGCTGAGCCACTCCCGAGGCCTGTGCGAGAGAGGCAGCATGTGGCACATCCATGTGGCAGGGGATCGTGACATAGGGCAATTATATGTGTTTAGTGTATATTTTTTAAGCAGCCAAGAGAATGGCAAGGGATGGGACAGATTGGAACAGTTGTTTAGGACACCAGGGCCCCCTAACCCCCCCCTGCCCAG